AAGGAGTAACTTTTAAGATAAAGGATAAAAAAGAGAAGATTGACTCTGTGTTTAAAGCTAAAGAGTTCCTGAGGGTTCAACTGGGAAAAGCAGAGGAAGACGACGGAAAATCAAATGGAGAAGAAGATTTAGAATCTTCCGGAGAGGACTCTTTGACTGAGCAGGGAGCAGCAGCTCCAAGAAGTCCTTATAAGCTGAGAAAGGGGAAAAAGAAGTAAAGGCTGAAGGACTCTGAATTGTGCCTTGAATTCAACAATATGTTAGAGATGAATGGGGGGTGGTTTACAGGCACTTAAAAATTTAAATGTAAAATTAGCAGAGAGAAAAATGAGTATGTTTGACTCAGTTTATAGAAATGAAACTGAAGTAATGACTTATTGTAACTAAGCTTGTTGGAGATCTCCTCTCTTGGGTTTTTAGATAGTAGTGGGTTTCTTTACTTTGTCTCTGTATGTGTAGTTCCCTATATCCTTTTTTCCTTATAGTATTTGTAGAGATATAAAAATAATTTAAAAAATCCCCTCTGGGGGAATAAACCCCCCCCCACAAAACTCTAGGAGTGGAGGTGAGGCCAAAGGGGACAGCAGTGTATTGAAAATCCTCTGACCCCCATCTAAAACGTACTTTCAGTGCGAGGGGTGAATAGCAATATGAAACGATACGTCCTTAATGTCTAGGACCACAAACTGGGAATCAGGAGTAAGAAACTCAATCACAGATGACAAAGAAACCATTATAAACTTTGAAACCTTTAGAAACTTGTTTAATTCTCTTAAGCTGAATATCAACCTATGGCCTCCATCTTTTTTGTCAACAAGAAAAAATCTTGAGTGAAAACCACATGACTGCAGGCCTCTGGGAATCCTTTCCACTGCCCCTTTTCGAAGAAGCTAATCTTGTTGAATGCGGAGCTCTGCATAGGGGTTATCGACTGCAGTTAGAGCAGGTCGACAGGGAGGGAGGGAGACTAACATGTAACCACTATGAACTATAGCCAAAACCAACTATCAGAGCATGTAAAGTGCCATGCTTCATAAAACCAAGCTAACCTATCTCCAAAACTAGGGGGTTCTATAGGAATCTGAAAAGATAGTCAGAATTTTGGTAGCTGTTGACTCTGCTCCCTCGGGGGGGGGGGTTGCTGGCTCACTGACCTAGGTCTCAGAGCACTCTTCCTCTTGTGAAATGGGGAAGATTGGCATAGAAGCTGAGAATACGAGTAGGGGGCCTGCACTTGGTGGTGCCTCTGGCCCTTACAACAAGGAATCGCAAACCCATGCTGCCTTGGAATGAAGCACTGTTGTGAAGCAGGAGGAGAGAGAGAAAAATACCCAGGGACTTTGCAGTTTGATGATTTTTCTTAATTATTGATAAGAATTCATTGGTGGTACAAGAGAAGAAGGTTGATCCCTCAAAGGGAGGTCCTCGACTCAACAGCACGTCTCCAACACAGGGCGGTCATACACAGCCAGGAATATCTTCTCAGGATCACCACAGAGGCCAAGGATCTGGCTGACCTATCAGCCGCATGTCTGCCCACATTTATCTCCTGCTTGGAAAGTCTTATCACTTCCAATTGGATCAGCTTAGCCAATCATCTAGGTTCTTAAGGGAGGACATCTAAGTACTGTGACAGATTTTCCCAAAGGAAGAGCTGATAAGTGCCTATAATCATTTGATGGTTTGCCACTCAGAATTTAATTGCAGCAGACAAAATTTATGTCCTAAAGAATCTAGATGCCGACTTTACCTGTCCCCAGAAGAGGAGTGTTGGCCAGGTCTATGATGCACCTGCATGTCCTCTGTGACTAGTGAGGAAGGAGGTGGATGGGTACTCAGGAATTCACACAAAACTTGCATGATCTTATATAAATTTTTGATGATATGGGAAATGGCCAGAGCCCTCTAAAATAGGAAAAGCCACTACACCAGGAGAATCAGGGTAGAGATGACTAAAAATTTAATCCTTTGACCTATTGTATGAGGTGACAACGTTAATGTCCAGAACCCTGGCCATTCTTAATATCTGCTTGCCATAGAGGTGAAGGTCCTCAACTTAGGGACACTGGGATTGGATCCCCTACTCTGTCATCCAGAGATTTGTTCGCATGCACTCTCAGCATTGTAAAGAGATACCACCACCACATCCTCATCTCATGCTATGGAGACATCAACACACAAAAAAGTGGACCAGGCTTCCACATGCCTAACATTGTCAAGGTTGTGCCTAGAGTCCAACACAGGGAAGGCTGACGCCATTGAAAATGGTGATCAGGGCACTGCTGTAAATACGTTGGAGACATATAATAGGACTGGCATTGGGGTGGACAAGCCTGCTGCCAAGAGAGAGGTGGTGTCAACTCGGGCCACACCAGCTGACCTCCTGAGATGCCAGATTATTCCTCCTTGGACTCAGAGAGGAACCTACCAGGAGAGCCAAAATGTGAAGAGGGAGTGTGAGGGGGCACCAACATGACATCCTGTTCCTCAGAAGATTACCTCAGAGAGGGCAAAGAAAGCTTGCCATGCTTGGTAAAGGAACCAACTTTCTCTTTTTGTCTTGATTTTTTGTATTTCTTAGACAGTGGTTCCAAACAGGAATGGGGGCCAAGGACTCCTCTACTCCAAGATGGGTGTGACAGATACAGCTCTTTTTGGCTGATTGGGAGCCTTCTTAGTAGTCAGGACTGCCAGGACCAACCATACAGTCAGCAGGTCAGAACAGGACTCTGGTACCAGAACTGACAGGGTTGTCCAGCTCGAGGAGGGAGATTCCAATCTAAGAACCAATTTGGATGGGACTGAAGACAATAAAGCTTTTCCCATAACACATTTAGTCATTCCAATCTAAGAACCAATTTGGATGGGACCGAAGACAATAAAGCTTTTCCCATAACACAGCTTTTAGTCGGGATGTTCTATCAGAATGTGCCTTAGGCATGAAGTGCTGACATATAGCACAAGTGCCTACATTATGAGACTCCCAGACACACATGAGACAGAGCTCATGTTCGTCACTTTGAGTCATCTTGGTCCCATACATTTTTGAAGAGCATCTTGGTCGCCATAACTAGGCATCACAAGCCGTAGACGCAGGGTAGACCAACAAGAGTCACCTCACGCTGTCAAAGATCCCCACTGGTGAACAACTTGTCTGAAGAAAGGAAAGAAAATGTCTCTACCAAGAAAGAAGGGAAGGAACACAGATAGTTGGAACGCTCCTATTCATGTGGCAGCAAAAAAGGAACTGAGGGAAGGGGGCGCCTGCCTCTGGAGCACAAGATGGCTTGGGTGAGAAAACCTGCCGCATTGGCTCCAGAAGGGAAGGGGTGCCCTACAGTAGTTTTAAGCTGGGGGAAAAATTATTCCACTGCCAGCCTGCACAGGCTCAGTCCCAATTTGGGGCTGCACTGAAAGCAAATTAATAAGGTGCTGTTGGGAAGCTGTGACATTCAGATAGGTTTAAGAACTCTTACTTTCATTTTAGAGATGTACTGTCCAGGGCTATTTTTGGGCAGGAACGCACAGGAACGGAGTTCCGGCTGGCTCCCAAGTTGGCCACACCCAGCAGGAACTCATTAGCATAATAGGCCACACCCAACAGCAGAAACTCATTAGGATTGGTTATATTAGAGGTGTGTGGCCTAACATGCAAAGGAGTTCCTGCTACAAAAAAAGCCCTAGGTTTTGACAACAAACAAGGTAAACAGAATAAGAAGCAAAAAGTGGGTGTGGCTGGATAACCACACTTCTGGTAACATGTGGGTGTGGCCTAATGTGCTAATGAGCTGTGCTGTCGGGGGTGTGGCCCAATATGCTAATGAGTTCCTGCTGTTGGGTGTGGCCTGTTATGCTAATGAGTTCCTGCTGGACTTTTTCTACAAAAAGAGCCCTGGTACTGACACACACTTTCTCATAACAGACCCACAAGAAAGCCAGGTAATATGAATGAAGCTGCAAAGTCACCGTCTTGCTTGTCACCCCTGAGAAAGGCAGCATAAACCTAGTATGAAGCCTGCAAGGGGAGCGATTGTGCCATGAAAATGAGGACATTGCTATTGACATCTATAAAGACTACAGCTAAAGGAATTGATGCCTTTGTATGAAGCTAGTCATAAAAACAGTTTGCATTTTAATCCAGCATTATCTCTTCTGTTTGTTCATAAGGAATGTTTAACTTTATATAGAACTTGCATAAAATTTTGCACTTGATATATTATTTTGCCCTTTAAATTTCACAATGTTCAAATAACCCACAGCACAAAACTTTCATTGACGGTCTATTTTCTCTCAGTCCACTGTGATTTGCACTGAATCATAGCTTTTAACTCTCTCCACGGAGTTCGGAGGTTTCTGTCCTCCTAAAATACATAACACTGATTTTTTCCAAGTCACTGAAGAACAAAGTATAGTAAGAGAAAATCTCATATGTTTCAGGAATAAAACAAGATCCACTTGAGAATTTACACGACTCTCCAGAGAAGCAGTGAGCTACAAAAGCCACACAGCAAAATCCTGTTTCCCCAAAGTACATGATGTGTCATGAAGCTTCTCATCCAATCATTGTTAACTGCCTTTAATAAAGAAAATGGTGAAATTTGCTGTTTATTACTCTGGTTGCAAAAGCAGTAAAGGCAATAAATAAATAAAATGGTAAAATAAAGAAATGCATTAGGGTTCCCAAATCCCCCCGGGGGCGGATTTCCCCCCACTTTTGAGGCCCGATTTTTGCCCCCGCGGAATCGGGCCCGGGGGAAACCCCACCCCCGCGCGCACGCCGCCCGGATGTGACGTACAGACGCCGGGCACGCTGGGGGCGGGGCCACAGCCATTTGAGGGGCCCCCGCCCCCAGCGTCTGTGCGTCACATCAGAGCGGCCGAGCGGCGTGCGCACACCCTCCAGACGCCGGGCAGGAGCCCCCTGCCGCCAGGTAAGATTCATTTGGCAACCCTAAAATGCATCCATGTTGTTTTTTAATAGTAGGACAACACACACTCACTTCACTTGCTGGCACACATTGCAGAGCCAAGCTTTTTCCTTCTTCTGATAGGAGCTGCAGTTCTTGCAGATGTTGTACTTGCAATCTTGGCACTGCCGCTTGGTATTGATGAGAAAAGTAAAAGGAGTGCAGCAACGCATGCAGCAGCGCTCGTTAAAGCTGTGCTGCTTGGAAAGGATGTTGCACTTGTTACCTTCTTCATCCAGCTTCTGCTTCATCTCACTGGTGCCCCAAGGAGGAAAAACACAAAAACAAAAGGAAGACAGAATCAAAATAACAGTCCACTTGGACAGACTTAACTCCCAATTTACTATGCAACACTCCCAAATAACTTCCATAAAGATTATTTCTTCCTTGATCAGCTAGAATTAGATTATATTAGCTTTCCCTTGCTGCGGAACAAATCATATGGTATCTGTCTATGGCTTTGATTCATGTCTCTTCAATCTCTGCTTTCTCTTTCTTTGCAGTCAACTGATTGTTCTCTAGTAGACATTTCTTGGTTGAACTAATACACTTGACAGGAGGCATTTGCCTAATGGTGAGGAGATGATATATAGTACCACCAGCACTGTTCCCTCTAAGTTGAGTTAGTGTGAGTTAGCTCACAGTTTTTAGCCTCCAGCTCACACATTTCTGTCTTAGCTCAGGAAGGATGGCTCCAGAGCAAACTAATTTATGCAGTAGCCAAATCGCTTGCTCACAACTTTAATGCCAGTAGCTCACAAAGTAGAATTTTTGCTCACAAGACTCCACCGCTAAGAGGGAACATTGACCACCAGTAGTTCTCAAACATTTTGAAGTGAGACCCACTTCTAAACACTGTATTTTTGAGATCCACTTGCAAAGGAGCCCTATGCTCCTTTACCGCTCCCCAACATAAAATACAAGCATTTCACTTTGGTTAAGGCTGAACAAGTTCTAGTTATGATAGGTGATTACCATGGGTATCTGATAGTAGACCTCTATTATATGATATGATGATCTGAACCCTAAAAGTCTTGACTGACACACAAATTAGAGAGAAGGACTAAAACTCAGCAAAGCCAACACATCTTAATAAGCCCCCAGTTTCATGCACAGCCTGGCTAGGGCTACAGAAATTCCACAGAAATCTGGCTGTATATTCAGTGATGTAGATTTTCCTCTGAAATTGTTGCATTCACTCTATATCCCTAATCCCAGATTCTATACACAAGCAGGGGTGATCCCAGTGATTCAGAGACTCTGGGCAAGTATGGGATATGGGGCTCCAGAATTGCTATTCCACCACTGCCCCCCACAGAGGTCAAGCAAGTGGTGGCCCTCTGTGTGAGGTAGGCAGGAGCCACCACTGCCACCAGCAGCCAGCTGGCCAAGACCCCAGACAGAGCAGGTACAAGTGGCAGCAGACATCTGTTCTTTTCTTTCCTCCCTTCCTCCCCCCTAGAATGGCTAGGCCAGAACAGTGAAACTGAAAGTATCTCTTAAAGGTACATCACACTATTTACAAAACTGTTCCATATACCACAGTTGAGGCCTCCCAACTGCGGGGGCCTAGGATAGCTCAGCTAAGAAGAACTATGCATATTTGTACAGTTTGTTTGAGGGACACCCTAGATATGATAGCAAAACTCTTGGCTTTTAAAAAATGCATACCAAAATAAGAAGATAAAGGGTGACTTTATGATCGAGATTTATAAGATCATGCATGGGATAGAGCATGTCGAGAAAGAGGTACTTTTCTCCCTTTCTCACAATACAAGAACTCGTGGGCACTCAATGAAACTGCTGAGCAGTCGGATTAGGACAGGTAAAAGGAAGTACTTCTTCACCCAAAGAATGATTAACACATGGAATTCACTGCCACAGGAGGTGGTGGCGGCTACAAGCATAGACGGCTTCAAGAGGGAATTAGATGAACATATGGAGCAGAGGTCCATCAGTGGCTATTAGCCACAAGGTATAGATAGGAACTCTCAGTCTGGGGCAAGTGATGCACTATATTCTTGGTGCTTGGGGGGAGCAACAGTGGGAGGGCTTCTAACGTCCTGGCCTAGGGTTGCCAAGTTGATCTTCGCCAGGAGCGGTGGGTGCTCCCGGCCAGCGTTTGGTGCGTGCACACGCCGCACGGATATCACCCGGAAGTGACGGGAGGACGCCAGGCACGCTGGGGGCGGGGGCACAGCCATACAAGGGAAAACCATAGAGTTCCCCCGGGGCCCAATCCGGCGCCGCCGGGGAATGGGCCTCTGGGGCGGGGGTTTCCCCGCCCCCCGGGGGGACTTGGGATCCCTATCCTGGCCCCACTTATGGTACCTGGTATTTTTGGCCACTGTGTGATGGAGTGTTGGACTGGATGGGCCATTGGTTTGATTCAACATTGGCTTCTCTTATGTTCTTACAACTTAAAGAGTGAAAGGGGAGCCCTCTCCTGACACATGTGGCTTACTATCCCCACTGGCTGTCACTGAACTCGTCATTTTCCCCTTCAGCTACCATAAGCAAATCAGTATGGGAGAAAAGTGCACATATGGAAGTAAGCAACAGATACAGTAGCCGTCATCCAGACTCCCTACCACACTTTAATAAGAAAGACTAAGAATTAAATAGTTAGGAGTCCTATCATCACATTTAGTTCCACTGTTGCCTCTCTTAGCTTCCAGTCAACTGGGATACAAATCAAATGGGCTTCTGCAAACAACCAACTTATACAGGTAAGTATGAAATCTGGTAAGTGCATCAGACAATAAGAGAGAGAGAAAAGTCTTCACTTCATGTTGAGTGTCAGGAAGCAAAATAATGAAGACACAGTTGTAGATGCTGATTGCTAATCATAGCTGAGCCATAATCATAATTATGTCATTGATGGACGTTGCAAATGTCAGCATGCCGCATTTGCACAGCTGTCTTAAAAACACATAAGAACTAACACAATTACTGGGGAAGAAGATAAATTCTTTTGACACCCAAATCTGAAGTAAACACAAGTTTGACATCAATTCCACATTAACTGTATTAGTCTCTTCTCTAATTTCGTAACAACTGACTTCAATCTTTAGGTAATTTAGTTTCACCATATGAATGATCCATGCTGTATTTCTATACAGGGGCCAGACAAGTCTCCTTTCCTTGAAACAGCCTTTACATGATCAGGTTTTCCCTGTGAGAAATGACTGCCTTGTCAAAAGGTGATTTGATAATAATAAATTAACATTGATATAAACTTTAAATTCTATTTTTCCCATTCTAAATGTATTAAATGGCAATATATTTAAAAGCCATTTTCAAATTTCATCTTGGATTTTACAGAATGGTCACATTTGCTCTTGTTACAGTTAATGGCCATTGACTGACTTACCTGACACAAATTTGTCTTATCCTTGTACAAAGTCATTTTTGTAGGAAATCCACACCTTGTGAATGCATTTGGGATTGCAGTTGTCATGTAACATATACAATGCATACAATACTGATTAACCCAGTAAAGCAGCAGCTACAGACCCCAATGAATGTTTCTGTCATACCAAAGGCTAAATATTTCTTTTGGAAATGTTGATATGTAGACTTATAAAATACATATTTATGATGTGGATTTTTACTTTATGTCCGTCCCATTCCTTGAGTAAAAGAAATCTAGTATACTGTATTAGATATACTTAAAATTTAGCAGCAGAAAACCCACATGCTTTAAATAATATAATTGCAGGTTTTATAAACAATTGTAAAATTCCAGTTTCTGTAAAAGTCATATAGTATTGCCCTTCTTTTTAGTAACTCATATTTTATATTTTACCAAATATTACCGTATTACCCATATTTTATATTTTACCAAATATTACCGTAATATGCCCCACTATAATTCTGTGTTAGATCAGGAATACTCTAGCCATTTACCTGACTTTGTTCTTTGCGATAATTTAATCTACAAAGACAATTATGTTGTTGAATCATGCATATACAGCTCTGAGAAAAGTAAAGTACTTATAACTAGTAACTGGTCTCTGTAGATTAGTGCTTTTAATTATCTTTACAATAGCTGAGTTCTGACTGGCAGTTTGAAGCAAGAGGGAGTCATGGCAAAAAAGAGCCGGAACAAACTGTTCCGGGTTTTCCCGGTCACACTGCGCAGACTGATGCAGGAGTATACCGGGAGGAGGCGTGAGGGAGCGTTCACACTGTTGGTTCAGAGGCGCGGCTGTAAACGGCGTTTTCCTCACAGCAGACACCTATGCATGGGCGCCTATGTGTATAGGCGCCTAGGTGCGGTGGCAAATAGGGCAGGATCCAGCTGCTGTGGACCATAGGCACATCCGGCCACATCACTACCCCCTCTTCAAGGCAATCACCTGCACCTTCCTGGTTCCAGAGTGAGGCTAGGAGGTCAGTCAGCGTAAACAGCTGGCGCACATTATTAACGCGGGTTGTTCCCGGCTTTTAGCTGTTAGCATTCACACTTCCGGGAAGCAGAATGAAGTGGGAAAAACAGGCTCTCCAGGGTTTGCTACCACTTTCACCAGGTATCTTTTAAACCCAGGAGGCAAGCGCTACAAGACGGGTTGGGTACGGGTGGGGAACGCCAGACAGATGAGCCTGTGTGAACGGTCCCTTTAATCCACTTGTGAAACATTCCTCACACTGGCCTATATTGGGGCAAACTGCCAGTCTGAAGTCGGCCAATATTACTAGATAATAGCTCATCAATTTGATGTGTAGTAGGAGCTGGGGGAGGGGCATATCTTTCTATATCCGGCACATTCCAGCTCTTTCTTTGTCTATATTCTGCCATCAACTCAAATCCATTTTTTTCTTCTCTCAATTTCCTAATTTCCTGTACCTCAGTTTAATTGGGCCAAGAAACTAAAGGGGTAGAAAATAAACATCCAGAGTGAGGGAATGTATTTCACCTACTAATTCAAACTAACCATCCAGATCTTGGGCTGACGATAAAAGCTTGGAACAGTCCGTTCTGCCAACATAACGAAATAGATGTTCACACTCTTCAAATACCTAAAGCAGTATTACAAGAGGGCAAAGGCTTTTTCTCTGCCATTTATCTGTAATGTGCTCAAATTACACATTTCAGATGAACAGCAGGAGAAACTACCTGACAAGAAGTGTGGTTCAGCAATGGAACCAATTACTAGGGACGGGGTCTCCCACACTGTAGGTCTTCAAGCAGAGGCTGGCCAGCCATCTGTGAGGAATGCTCCAGCTTCAGATTTCTTGCACAGAGCAAGTGG